CATTGATGGTGCATACGCCCCCTATGCACCATGGCGGTTCAAGCCACTATGAGCCTTACTCAATCATCTCGTTGCTGCATATCCTGCAATAGTCATGCTTGCTTCGCCGTAGCTTCCTTGATGGCCAGGCGAAAGTGTGCCCACTGCGAGTTTCCAAGTTAGTGATTGCCCCTTATGGTACTGGACAAAACTTTGAACTCACGCTGCTTGCACCGCCAACAAAACACATGAGCATCCACTGCCACCACAGGTCGGTCAGGAAGCCCACATTGTGTCTCTTGAGTCTAATGACCGAGAAGAAGGCACACTCGATGCTGTGGATGCCCCAGAGCACGTAAAACAGTCCATTCTGGATACGGGCGGCATTGGCAATGGCATTCGGCCTGCCGGCGAGCAGGTAGTCGTAGATGGGCGAGCCCATCTGGATCACCTCCCGCCGGGCGGAGAGGAGCATGACGACGCCAGTGATACCCAGGGCAACCAGCCGAGAGCGCGGCAGTTTGGGAAATGTCCGGACCTCGACCGGCGTGCTCATTGTTGCGAATAAGGGGGTATCTTGGGGGAAAAAGAAATAGGTACGAATCTAATCTTTTTGCGCCGTCTACAGCCGTCTGTTACCGTCTGCCGATAATTGATCGATTCTGATTGCCTTTTGATTCTGGTTATCGCCGAATCAAATGTAGATGTGGTCGTGTTTTTATCTCATCGAGTAGAATGGATGAAGAAGAGCGTGTAAGCACGCGCCAGTACACACGAGGTTACCTTTTAAAGGCGGTCCAGCACTACTCCCCTGCCAAAGGAGGGGCACGACCTCCCGAGGTCCTCGGCGCAGTCAGGTTTAGCTATATGTGCCATTCGTCCGTACTCTTCCTTTCATTCTGTTCAACGTCGATTCTCGTGAAGCTCATGATAATTTTCTTGTGCATGAATATATCCAGAACGACACCTGAGAGCCATGCTCTTATGGCAGGATAAGGGTGAGACGCCAAGAGAGTCTCTGCAGGTGCTTTTTAGTGAGCAACGGGCATTCTTCTAGCTCCGTCATATCCGGACTAACCCATAACCCAAGACACATCGAGTCTCTATTGGGCTGGGTAAGGTGTTATCTCCATAAATCCACAATGAACGGATAGACTGACTCGAACTGCGTTTTAGATTCACCCATCATGTCTTGTCTCTGTTCGACTCACGAATGATTCAACAAGAGCGTTGGCCATGAAAAAAAAGGCAACGGACTTTGGTTCTCTTCCACAGAGACAAGTGTCGAAAAGAGCATTGTCTAAACGTGTCTTTATACAAGTTATCGAAGGAAAGCAAGACGTTACATGGGCTTGCAAGTAGCCGGCGGCTAGAGAAGACTTATCTATTGCCGGACTTCAGTGGCCGCAATCAGCTATATACAGGGCAAAACGTTCACCTGAACCGACTGTCCCTAACCAGTTTACTCGTGCCATCCGATGCCGTTTTTGGCTCTGGAGAATTAGCACTTGTTTGAGCCTTATCAGGTATGTCCAACCGCTCATTTGCTGCAGAGCGACAGACTGCAATTAGCATACCCAATTACGTTGTGTTATCGACGTTTTGGTCCAGTATTGGCACAATCCTTAGTTCAGACAGCGGATCCGATGGCACCCCCGAACTCGGGCGGCACATCGGCTCCGCTTTGCGTCTATCAACCCACGCTTTGGGGAGGGTATACTCGGCATCTCGACAAATGATCAACATGTAAGTTTTCATTCGTCATCTTCTGCTGTCTCTAAATATCTTCTAATTCCCCTTCCTGTTCTTCGAAATATCCCGTCTCATCTCATAACCTCCCAATATACCATTGATACCCCTTTGACTTCATTCAAAATGACCGACGTTCAGTTGCCAGAGCCCTTTGCAAGCATCCCGAGGGAATCCTTCCTCTTCGGACCATCGCCGATCCAGCACTTGCCCCGTATATCCGAGGCTCTTGGAGGAAAGGTGCAGGTCTACGCAAAGCGTGAGGATTGCAACTCGGGTCTGGCCTATGGAGGAAACAAGACTAGAAAGCTAGAGTAAGATACAATCACGTTCTTGTCATGGGGGGACTCAGCATTGCCGACTTTTGTATTAACTGGCTCGTCTCAGGTACCTGGCCTCTGAGGCTCTGGCCCAGGGATGTGATACTCTGGTCAGCATCGGAGGTGTTCAGTCCAACCACACCCGCCAAGTGGCCGCAGTAGCCACCAAGCTGGGACTCAAGAGCGCACTGGTTCAAGAGCACTGGGTTGAGTGGGAGGACCCGGGATACACCAAGGTCGGCAACATTCAGCTGTCGCGCGTCATGGGCGCCGACTCTCGCCTCGACCCTTCGACTTTTGGCATTGAGCACAAGGATACGCTCAAGAACCTGAAGCAGGAGCTGGTCGACGCCGGCCGCAAGCCGTACTACATCCCTGCCGGTGCCTCGGATCACCCTCTGGGTGGTCTGGGCTTTGCCAGGTGGGCATTCGAGGTCGAGCAGCAGGAGAAGGCACAGGGTGTCTTCTTTGACACTATTATCGTCTGCGCCGTTACCGGTTCGACCATGGCCGGTATGGTGGCTGGTTTCAAGCTGGTCGAGAAGCTCGGCGGACGCAAGCGCAAGGTAATTGGCATTGACGCCTCGGCCAAGGTGCAACAGACCTTTGACCAGGTGCTGCGCATTGCCAAATTCACTGGTGCAAAGATTGGCCTCAGCGAGGACGACATTACTGAAAAGGACATTATCCTCGATGACAGATATCATGCTGGTATCTATGGTATTCCCGACGAACAGACCATCGAGGCCATCAAGTTTGGCGCACAGACCGAGGCTTTTATCACAGACCCCGTTTACGAGGGAAAGAGTTTGGCCGGTATGATGGATCTCATTAAGAAGGAAGAAATTCCCGCAGGAAGCAATGTGCTATACGCTCACCTTGGAGGACAACTCGCCCTCAATGCCTACTCTACTATTCAGTCATAGAACCAGGAGATGTCCAATGAAAACCAATGAATAAACCGACTCAATAATACTTGTTTTGTAGCTGAGTTTTGGCTATTCTTATTGATGTACAAGCTATGATAAAGCGATATAGGCTCCTATGAGGTGGACTCTCGATTCTACTTAGCTGCAAGTGGTCCAGGCATGTCCTTCTATAAAAGATTTTGGCAGCCGTGTGCTTGAATCAATGGTTTGAAATATTGCACTTCCTCTCGCAATTGTATATTTCACGTTGTCCATTGATTACCCAAGTTGAGACAGGTGCACTATTAGGGCAGTGACAGTCTCATTGACTTTATCGCATTCATCACCCTGTTCTCGGTTAGCAACATTCGACGACTAATGATCCTTGCTTGACTGTACTAACATTTCTTTCAACGGTATAGATCACGCTCCTAGGAATTTCTTCTGACCCGAGCACTGCCTCCAGCTTACCAATTTCGTCTTCTTCCACACCAACAGATCAAGAATACGAATATCAGGCACAAAGCCGACCCGCCAATGATTGCTCCCCATGCTACGCCGTCCAGTCTAGTTCCTGCACCGCCATCAATATCGGGCTCGGGTCCAGTCGTGGCATTGGCGTCATCTTCCATGCGTTTCAGGAGACTGGCATGTAGGAGTTCCAGTATGGGCTTTGTGGTTGTGGTGATTGTAGGCCGTCTTTGGATCATGATATCCGAGTAGTCGATAAGTGCAACCGGAGCGGCTGCGAGGAACTGAACTGGGATCACGAGGAGGAGAATGTACACAAAGGAGGAAAACATGGTGTATGCACATTCGGATTCGGTCTGTCTGGACTATCGACACAATTGCGTTCGAATATGCTGACTTTAGGGTAATAGTGTAAGAAAACGCGTCGACTGGTGTAGAGGTTTTACCATCAAGATACTCGCAATGAGTCAATGGTCTTCTTTTGTGTCCAGAAAGACATTCCGTCTGAAACTATCGAATGGTTTCATGTGATGGTCAACCTCATCGTATGTGGCCATCGCAAACAAAGGCAAGGCTGCAAGTGTGTGTGCTCAGGCACAAATAATGGCATTCTTTGCCGCCTGAGCCTGCCTGATTGTATCTGATGGTGAATAAGCAATTCGGTCAAACATTTACAGATTGCTTACATGTCTTTGTCAGGGAAGAAAGACTGACAAAGATTGTCAGATGACTCTGGCGACCATTGTTTGCTCGGGCAGATATATACTACCCATAAGCAAGGCTACAAGTGCCTCGGATGATTGCGCATTGTCTCGACTGAGCAAAAACAAGATCTTGCACTTAGTATCAAGACTCCGACGAACAGCAACTAGCAGCTCAGACTTGACTGGTTCAAGTGCGCTGTATCGAGCTGATCAGAAATGTACTTTCGCGATGTCGAATTTGAGTCACGCGCTGACATGGCCGATCTCCAGCTGGCAATGGCAATCATGTCTATCGCACTGGTGATAATGATATGGGAACTTGCGCTTGCACTGACTGTCAATGGCGCCGTACGCATACATGAATACAAGTTGCGAGACCTGGAGAAAGGACTGGGACGCACTGGTAAGTACGCTGTTGATATACATATCAAGACGGAGTAGTCGAGCTAGAACTGATAGATGTTGCATCATATAATCACTCCCTGATTATATTGAGATGGAGACCCAAATGAAGAGAAAGAAGATGTACGATGGAATCAGAGTACATAGTCAGCATACTTGTTCAATTAGACGTCATTGGTGCTCAACTGAGATAATTCCTGCCGGCATCGCTGAACCATGTATGAAGCCCACTAAAATGTTCACTGAACACTTGCATGAAAGGCACCACACTAAACTGATGGCTGCGTCGGGCGGACCACCCGAGCCGGCCGATACCCACTCTCCCCACCCTAGGCGACGACAAGGGCCACGATCATTGATCCACACATCCTAGTCAGAAAATTTTCATTTTATCCGCAGAACAAACAAATAAAGCGATAAGCAGCCGAGTTTCCATGAAGCGTCGAAGCAATTCGGCGTTTCTCATTGGTCCGTTGGCAGAATTGGCATTGCGTCTGACTACGACAGCTTCCTCTCTGGATAAAACTAGAAAGGCTGTAATCAGTTGACATCAGGAGATTCTGGGTTCGATCCCCAGGCGGACCTTCTTTTTGTCGGATTTGACGAGTGTTGTGATGATTTTTTGGTGTTTTGTTTATTAGATGGGAATTGATTGATTGATCGATCGCGACTTTTTTTCTACTGCGAACGCAGATTGTTACCGAGTTGGCCGTTGCTAATATTTGGTCAGCCAGGAAATCGACAAAATAATAAAGATGTTGTGCTATTAGTTTCCTCTCTTATCAATGGCCCCGTGCAATGCTCTGGTAGCTTGTTCGTCTCTTCCTCGCGAGGGAGGCTGGTTCGGCGCTCGCCAAGATGTTGATGATGGGCCTTGGCGAGGAGAATCCAGGGACCGGGCAGGTGAGAACCGAGGTTGAGAATTCCGTGTATGTTGTGATTATTCAGTCATTGGGTTTTCCCTTCTTGGTTCTGACATGGCGCGACGGGATCGGTGGAACAGTTGATGTCGCGTCGGACATAACATAACTCGAGGAGAGAAGTTGAATAGGCAAGTTCTTCGGTCATCGTTACTGGACCATTGATTCAAACGATAATGGCCAGAGCAAAATTCAAGGAAACAGATGGTATGACACGGGGATTGGGACTTTGTTGCAAAGGGTAAAAAAGTGTGTTGGTCGAGCTAGGTCAGGTCCGATTCTTAGATTACAGCGCGACTTCCCCGTCGTACCTTCCTCACGCTTCGCGGAAGGTGCATCTCTCATCGCTCACGGTCACATACATCGATCTCGCAATATACACTGTTGGCATCATAGCTATCTCTGGCTCATGACTACATTGCTTCTCGAAGCCCAACCCTGACTATGGCAAGCTTGGTGTCACTGCTGGACGAAGTGTTCCTGTTGGTGCATGCCTAATGATGATGGCAGGTACGCTTGGGACGCACTACGACGGATCGCATATGGCCTTTGATCATATGTCCACCACACATTTGCATCCAATTCTTCAAAAAGTCGGCAAAGTTTTTCGGGCCACTTATCAAGCCTTGGCTGTTTTACGGCAGGAACAAGGATGATTTGCGAGAATCTACCGTCTATTTTTCTTTCCTCTTTTCCCGTTTACTGTAATCGAGAAAACAAGATAGAGAGACATGCGCAGTAAAATATCAATACGAGGAAGTGAAAAGCAAAATGATTTCAAAGAGAGAATACTGCGCCATATTAAAGCATATCGAAAAGCTTTGCAAGTTTACTTCACCCAAGCCCTACCAAGAAGAGTAATATCGACCAGCGTAGGGTTCAGGTCGCTGTCACCGATAACTTGTCCAGCTTGCCAGATGGAAGGTCGGCTCGCCCTATAGAGCGCAGAGATCTGCCACTTGAACAACTTCCTTTGTGATGTGGTTCTGTAGGTACTCCCATATGTTTGGCTAGTCCTTTGCCCGGACTTTATCAATGGAGATCGGAGTCTTTGTGCTCAAACTGAATTTCCGGATCAGCGGTCAATTCCCTTCCTCGAATACACACCAAAGTCTGCCGATTTGGCTGGGAAGAGGATGGTCAGGTTTGCGAGCGGCAGTTGTACGGACATACTATTCGACGTATGCAGCGTACGCTGATAGCATAGGATTTGGTGCAGAGCTATGTGAAAGCACCTCCCTTCGATACACAGACAAGCCCCATATGATCGTTTTGTTATTGCAAGGAACTGAAGCTGATTAATGGTCAGTAATAATCTGATGGCGCAAATCATACTGGGTCAGGTGAGATCGGATGGAACTGAGCCCATTGAGACGGGAAATGTGGACAGGACCGATGCATGAACGAGATATACCGTGAGTATGTTCAGTCCCTTCTGTCGGTACAGTCGAGCTGGGACGAAAACACGATCTGCGCGTCAGCCGTGATCAGCGAGATCTCACTCTTGGCACCGTTTATTGCTATTGCACTCGTTGAAAAGACGATCGACTCGTGGAAACCAAAGTCAATATCGTTTCATGGCTTGGTGTGGATGTATGTTCACCTCAAAGGAACATGGCCGAGTAGAATGACTGTGACCGTCTTTCGGAATCTCAAAATGATAGGAACAGCACCAACTGCAGTACCCGAGTCAAGTTAGCCAGCAAACAATTCAATGCTGAACGATAATTGAGTGGCGCAGCGAGTTGTATGCATTAATCTCGCAATGCCGTCATTATCATCACCACCATAATGGTTGACATATCGGAAGCGCCGTTTCCCCTCGGCCAGGCACGCGAAGAACATTCACGAGAAGAACGACGATAGCAAGCGTTTGTGACTCGCCTGAAGATGTGAGGTCAGATCAAACGCTTGCGAGTCTCAGATGTCGTCTCAAAGGGGACCTGACCCCTGTTGAGACGGTTTGGCCGCACAGACGGGGGCCTTGATAACCCCTGCAAGCGAGCGTTATGAGGCTTAAATTAGGCTACTGGAGCGCTGGATAGCGCCCTGAAATGCCGACTTTTTCTAGTGGTCGGAGCACCCTAGTGGACAGATTGCCGCTTGCAATCATCTTACTGGGGTTCTTCTCGTTATTCATCTCACCACAGATCTCGGTAACCCAATGTTCTGGGGTTGGCTTGGCTTCGGATCTCCGCGCCGAAATTGATTAAGAGTCTCTGACACGATTAAACTTGGAATGCAGGTACAGACACACGTGCGCGCGTACAAACGAACAGCCCCGTCCAGCATTGGAACTCGGTGCGAGTCTGTTGACGGGATATTCAAAGGAACTCTACTTTTCAGCCCTGGAGGAACCCAACTGCCTCTAGAAGATGCCAAAGCGATGACATTCATGCTCGAGGATATACTATCTTTGCTTACTTGCTCACGGCAATATACACTCTGCCAAAATCACCATGGCGTCACTGTCCAAATGACAAAGTAATCCGACAGTCGTGATCCACTTGCCATTTGAGCTTATTTTTGACTTTCAACTGTCAGGGACCCCTGCAGCAGAGCCTCATGGAGTCATGGGCCCTGTCTACAAGGTAACCTAGGTGGTTACTGTGTATGTGGGTGTCTTGTCTCGACCCGAGCTTGTTCCGCTCCTGCATTTGCTGCTCAGGAGCCTTTCCCCCACGGAGCGCCCTGTATCAAGGGAGAGGAGCATTGCGAGAAACGGTCAAGGCTCCGCTCTGTTGTCGCCTTGGTCGAGACCCATGAGCTTGTCAAGGGCGACGACAGACGCCAACCTGGATATGGTGGGAGATCGCGACATGGCATGACAAGCCAATCACAGAGATTCTACGTTCGAGTCAGTGGGACCTGGATGCTTGGCTGAGAGATCATTCGGTACCTGAACCGAACGACTTTGCTCCTCTTGGCCCCTTCTCCTTGACCGCATAGCATGTCGAGACAGCATGGCCGTGTTTGACCTGAGATGGCCACTCCGATCGATGCTAGGTAGGTAGGTGGTCTAGTCCCTTTGCCGCACCATCTGATGTTGAGCGCTCCTGTAGGTATGATCTACACGGGGCTCATCTGACGAACACCTCGCTACTCGCGCGTGCCCGTCGCTTGGGTGGTATCTCATAGTATCTGCCATCGCGAACCCTCTTCACACACTTGTATATAAGTCTGACAACCGCCTTCTTCATGTCGACTTTCTTTTATTGTTTCCTCAGCAAGCTCTGGTTCCTTCTTTGACACACAGCTCTTTACAGTTCTGCGAACTATTTCGTTCATTACATTCTTTCTTGTGCTAATTTAACAATTACAACCGCTTGGCCGGCCATCTTTAACGACAACTCTTCATTTCTATTACTCTATTGATTATTCTGTCAGAGACTACCAAAAGCTCTTTGCTCATCAACAAACATCTCCACCAACAAAATGTTTACCAAGGTCGCTACCATCTCCGCCCTTGTGGCTATTGCCCAGGCCCGTTTCGGTCAGGAACAGGTTCCCGTTTCTGCCGTCACTGCTCTCAGCAACTTTGGAAATCCCGGTGAAGCTGCCACTCTGGCTGGTGGCATCCCCGGCAGTCTTCTCGCCGCCGCTGACCCTTGCGCCAAGCTCACACTGGCCGACAAGATCGTCTCAACCTTGGGTACCGACGCTGCCGTCATCTCAGCTGCCCAGCAACTGGTCGCCGCTGAGCAAAACTTCAACCCCTTTGTGGTCAGCATTCCCAACATCTGTGGTGACGCGACCCTGCCCGCCACTGAAGAGCTCCGTGGTATCGTTCCCCTGGTCGACCCGGCCGTCACTGGCTCTGATGCCGAGAATGCCAACTCTGCTTCATCTCTCAACAGCCCCTTTGACGCCACTGGCCTCAGTGTGGCCGAGGTCATGATTGCTCAGGGATTCTCCAACTTCTCGGTCAACGGACAGGACCAGTCGAGTGGAAGCACTGGCAACACCGACACTGGCAGTGCCGCTACTACTGCGGCCGCTGCCGCCTCTACCACTTTGACCAAGTGCAGCAAGAACACTGCTACTGCATCCGCCGCTACTACATCTGCTGCCGCTGCCTCTTCCACCGCCAGTGCTACCCAAGCAGCCGACGCCGCTGCCACCTCTGCTGCATCTTCGGCTGCTACTGGTGCCGGTGCTGTCGCCGACCCCGTCACAGGAACTTGTAAGTTCACGAATATTCCTACTGTGCCACGAAACTCCACATATACTGACAATTCTTTACAGTCGATGGTTTCCAGGCTTCCTCTCTCGGTCTTGACTTTGGAACCTGCACTCCTACTGTCAAGTTTGAGGAGTCGCTCAATGGACGCAAGGCTGGCGAGTTCACCTTCCAGGCCCAGGACCCCGTTGTGAACAAGGGTCAGCAGGAGGCTCTCAACCCCAACATCATCTTCAACCGCATCTGTGATCAGCTCGTCAACGTCTGCGGTGCTGCCGACGACGCTGTCACTGCTTGCAAGTCTGCTCAGGCTGATCTCGGTGGTGGTGCCAAGGATGAGACAACGGCCAATGCCTGGAACGAAGCTCTGGGCTTTGCCGGAACCAACATCAACCCCGACAACGCTCCCCAGACTGGCCTTGTTGGTCACACTTAAAGAAAGTCAGTAGTGTGCAACTGACCACGTGCTCGGAGAAAGGGATACC